TTTATTTTTTTATTATTACTTTTATAAAATTAATAATTTTAATAATAAAAAATAAAAATATTTTAAAAAATATATTTATTTGTTTTTAAACATGTTCTTATCAGTCATTTAATGTTAAACAATAATCACTAACCATTGTATAATCAAACAATTATACTTATCGAATTCACTATTTATCATCCGTTACTCATTTTTTACTATCCGTAATCTGTTATCTTTTAACCACCATTCACTATCTACTATCACTATCCGTTACCGTTATTTACTACCTACTATTTATTATCCGCTGAATTTTAACTGCAGTGCGAAAACGGACCCAAGTATTTGACTATCATACCTCTCATTTGAATCCAACTCACAGCAGTCACCGCTTTGCTTGCGTTCTCTCCGGAACCTGTTTGCATCTTTCACTCTCAAAGAATGGCCATTAAAAAATTCCTGCCTTTTCTAGTTGATTTTGCTGATTCTTTCTTCCTTATTTCTTTGATTTCCCCTTTCCACATTCGCTTTCGTTCCCCCTCCGTTATTCTTCCCCCTTTGTAATCATTCCTATAGCTTTTTCCTCTAAATCTCAAAATCCCTATAGATTAAAACTGAAATTTTCCCATTTAGGTGATTGATTTCTTATTTACTAATTCCTGTAATGAAATTTAATAAAGAAATAAAGTAATATTAGTAGGAGAGAGGAAAAAGAAGAAGAAATTCACCAAATCACAGTCTAATAACATTTGAATTGCTTTTGGGCTTGTTGGTGAGTGTGATTTTCTATGTTTGAGATTGAAATTTTGGAGATTTTGATGTGATTGAGAGGATTAAGATTTTACTCACGAGAAGATAACATGAAAAACAAAAGCAAAATAGAAGAGAGGGCATACTGGTCAAATAATTAAAAAAGCTGTGGTGTGTTAACCTTTTGAGGCTATGGCAATAGCGCCACCCGTTGTTTTGGATGGGCAGAGTGAAAAAGGGACTGGGGGTGGTAGATCAACTAATTAGTTTGAAGGTGGGGTGGGGATTGGTGGGAATAAGGCTTGAATTTGGAGGGGGGTGGGTGTTGCTAGTTAGGGTTTATATTGAAATCGAAGCAAAGAGAGGGGAGGTTGAAAGCAGAGGTTAAGGGATGAAGCAAGAGGATGGAAGAAATTAAAGGAAAAAGCAGTCCCCTTTCTGATATAAGAAACAAGATTGCCTCTTTTTAAATCATTAATTTGAAATATATTGCCAGGATCTCTCAATTCATTCCAGTCTCTGTCTTTTTCAACCTATAAATTCTCCATTTGAGGCTTTTCCGATATCAAGAATGAGCTTTTCTCACTATTAGAAATTTTCTTGTACAAACCTACGGGGCACATCTCCCTCTCATTGTTTGGTTGCTTAGAAAATGACAGACAAATTGTGAAATGTTGCTCAAAATTTGGAATTTGTGTTCGTTTGTATGCTTTCTGCAAGGCACTAGGGCACCCCCCGGAAAAAATTCGTCGAAAATTGAAAATAATTTGTTATTTTATAATTTAAACTTGAAAAATCTAATTTTAAAATTTTTTATATAAATTTTTAATTTGTTTATATTTTTTAAAAAAATTTAATTATTTTTTACTAAATTACTCATTTATTTAACTAATTTTTAATTTTTTAATAATTAAAATTAAATAAAATAATAATTAATAAATTTTAAACTATTAAAAAATTAAAAAATATTTTTTTATTAAAATCAAAATCAAATAATTATTTTTAAAAACACTACCATTTGAATTGATTATTGATGGTAAAAATTTAATAACTAACAATTATTATTGTAACCGACTGTAGCCGTGCTCAACCCTACTGTTCGTAGGGTTAAAAGAACACACTATTCCTAGTCATCCACATCACGTGCCATGTATAAAGTTACCCGTAAAGGTAAATGAATGTTTGCTGAAGAAAAGCTAGAAATTTGTGCTTTTGACTTTTTCAAAATTGGCGGCAAACGGCATTACTTCCACGATCCACCATCATCAAACCATGCTAATTGCTAAATGTTGGTGTCTCCAAACTAATGCTATGTGTGATTCTTTCTTTAAATATCACTTTTAATAACAAGATATAGAACGAACACTATAAATAATTTAATAATAATTTTTTATTAAAAATAAAAAATTTTAATTTAAATCATACAATATATGAAAAAAGATGAATCAAAAGATATATACAATAAAGATCAAAATAAATAAATAAAATAAAAGATAATATCTTTATAATTTATTTTGTATTGACAATATATTTAATAATAGTTAATAAAAAATTAATTTATTTATAAAATATTTATTTTTATTAATAATTATAAGATATATAATTCATTAAATTTTTATATAAAAATACTTAAGAAATATAAAAAAAAAAAAATCATATCAGCAAATACAACCACCTTGTCAGGCAGCAAACCATTGGTCGTGTCATCTGATGGATGACAACGTGAGCATG